AAAAATCTGTGTTGACTGTTGTTTCCAAAGGGAATAAAAAAACAGCTGACTGCCACAAAACTCGTTCAACCGATAACTCCAGTTTTTTTGATTATTTTCATTTCGTTACCCAGCTAAGCTTCTATCGTGCCAATATTTCGGGAGTTCATTTCAATATTTGGGTAATGTCTATTTGCTGTAATTACTGTACTTGCCTCTGCTAAGGTAGTTTGCATCCCCAAGGCATCAACAGTGGCTGCTTCCCAGTTGAACGTATCGCTAAGTTTTGTCTGAAGACTACTCCACTGAACTCCAGCTAGTTCAAAAATGAAATATCAATGAATTTATGATGTACGTCGAGATGATCGAGACATACGTCTGGTAAAATACTTCCGTGAAATAAGCAGATTTGAGAAATTCACAGTATCAATCTATAGTATTTCCATTAGAAATTACTACATCATAGTAGTAAACTTCCATGGTGTTTTGTAAGAGCGTTTTGTTATATATAATATTCCAATACATCTGCGGCTACTTGAGATCTTCTTGGTGTTTTTTAGATGTAAGGCCTTGGAGGTCTCGTTTCCATGCTTCGTCACTAGTCCCCCGATATTGACGGTCGTGAGCCCACTACCGCCATTTTTAAAAGTCGTGTATTGTACTTACCTTTTGCTTTTGATCCAGAAATCCTTTGTATTGACATGGGGTTGATGCCTGCAAATCTTTGGTCGGTGAATATTCTATCTTCCCTCCAGTTGCACAGTCTAGTCAATCTTCCAAAAGGTTTGTCTGGTTGCATGAAATACAGCTGAAAATACTTGTGTTGCTCCTAAAAAAATAACATTTGTGGTTTAGATGTCATTAATGCATCTATTTCTTAAGATGAGATTTATATATCATTCAAAAACTCATACATAATTAATGAGTTATTAGGCCAATAGAATGAGACCATTTGGTCACATGCATTGACCTTTTAATATCCGATAGAACACTCTTATTAGTATTCTTTTTATAAAGAATTCTAATAAGGGTAACCTTTAAACACACTCTCTCGTGTTTTAAACTATACATAAAACTATTAAAAAACTCGTTTCCAAGTCCACCACTTTCATTGTTTCCGCAGTTTTTCACTATTTCCATACCTTTGGTATCACGCTGTACTGTGACTCAATCATAAACTTCAGAACGGCTTTGTAGTCATCAACTGTTTCAAACTCTTTTCCGTTTGTCTTGTTCAGAAATTTAGTAGCAATGAGATAATTTCTAGGGGTAATGGCTGTATATATACCCATCCAACGAGCGTTTATCGGTTCCTTTTGATAGATCTTCACAAGTTGCCCAGAAGTGGCGTTTAGTCCAGGGAATAGATTAAGGAAAGTCGGGACAAGTTGATAGGCTCTCTTGCTGTCATTGATTTCTTTCTTCATTAGTCGGAGACAATAAGGATTTAGAAAACGTCTGATTCCAACAGGGCAGCTCACTGAATGTGATGAATACATTCAATATTTAGTGTCAGAAAGGAACCCTAGCTAGTAAGGTTGCATGACTATTATTGTGGCGCTCAACTCATTATAAAAGGACACCTTCACCCCTCCCCTAAGGTGATGCCTTGATCCGCCTCTAAGGATTGACTGTCCTTAAAGGCCCATGTGCATCCAAAAACCTTTGCAATCATTCTTTTGTTTTCGCACACAATCTCTTGTTGAAAGGTGTTTTCTGATTGGTTAAAAAATTAAAGATGGCGACCTAAAATCGCGCAATGGCTATTGGAAGGACGTGTGCCTTTAAAATTCCAGGTACAAACATTAACAATAGCCAATAAATTAAAAAAAGTACACATAAATTCGAGGCTAAGCCCGCTTGAGTGGAATTTTAAAAGAAGTCAATACAGCCTGGAAGTTTCGGAAGCAAAAGTCGTTGTTTTCTTTTTCAGGTTAATTATAAACCTAATCAAAAAGACAAACGCAACTTTGTATATTTTATCTTATTGTTTTTTCGCTATTGTCTCATGTGTATATATAGCTCTTCAGTTGTAATGAATTCAAAATTGCTTGAGAATGGCATCAGAGGATGTCGAAACGTCGCAAAAATGAATCTAGTTGCGTTTGTCTTTTTGATTAACTTTATTTCAAGATCTAAACTTATTAATTATAAACCATAGAAGAATATAAGAGAATGTAAGTAAATGGGATACACTAAATTGTAATTATTGATAGTAGCTAGTATATCCATTAACTTCATGGGTTAAACAAAGTTCCATGTAAAATCATAATAGAAAAATTCACAAGCTTACCAGTGACGTTACTGAAGACATAAACATCCATCAATCCATTACCGCCAAGACCATTTACACATCGAGATGATTTCTTGACCTGAAAAAACTGTTCCACTTTTCCCTGCACTGATAAACAATGACCTCCATTTTTCAAAAAGAACATTCTATGTCCATCCGCTTGGACCGCTTTGGCACAAGACCCGATGGGGTCTGGAACTTGAGTAAAGTCTCCAATCGAAAACGACTTGATATTTTTGGAATCATAGTAGCAGCCAAAGTACTGAAAAGATTGGCCATTTTCCACATCTGAATCATTGTATGAAATATGGATGATTGAGTAAATTGATTAATGATGTACTTGATTATAGATTTGTGCGAGAAAATAATAAGTAATTGACAAGATCTATTTGAAGTCAACTAAACATTTTACCCGACCACACTTGAGTAAATTCTCACTTGCTGATTGGCTAATAAGAGTTTGTCAATAAGAGGACATGCACGCTGTGCTGACACCACCATGTCTCGCGCGCGAGCGCTCAGTTGAAAGGAAAGTCAGAATGATTTTCGCTCAATTAATTTTTAAGACTTATATGTGTCAAAAAAAATGTGCACGCTTTTGAGTTGTTTGTCATCTAATTGACACTCTCCTGACGTCATAAAATGTTCAAAACTCAAGTGGACCCACGCGGAGCGCAGCAATTTTGTTAAAGTGCAGTAACCAAAAAGGAAATCGAAACGTCTAGGGAGGGGCGTATCGAATTCTTTTGTTCTCTATGCTTCGAAATATTGAATTGACAAAAAAAGGTTTTCTCGTTGAAATAACCTTTACGTATCAAAGTTCTGTAAACTAATTAAATAACATTTAAAGAATGCAATGCCATGCAAAAAAAAAATCCCTTTAAAACCCGATATTTCATTGTTTTCCCTTCAAATTGACAATTTCGATAATTAGTTATGAATTGTTAGACGTTTTAATCCAGAGTCATACAATATACATATATTGTTAATATTAGAAGAGTGTAGTTCTAATCAAAAAGCAGGTTTCGGCCGGTACTGCATTACCAATTGAAAAGCTGCAGGTGGGATTCCGTAAAGTGGAGCTCGTTGGCACGATGATGTTACAGTGCAAATCCGCTGATTTCAGTATGAAATTTTTGCTATTTGGAATATAGTATGTGGATTAGTGAAACCCAGCCTATATAGCTAGAGAGATGTTGTTATTGTGATACGTTCTTTCTACCTTTCTCTCTTTATTTCTCCTCTTGAAATATCACTTGAGAATTACTCATCCACTTTTAACATTTAATGAGGAAATAAAAGTACTCACCTATCAAGCCTGGGCCTGAATCTCCTTGAGGTAGATACGATATTAGTATAATCAAAAGTTTTGTTAAAACTATCCAATCCATTCTAACAAAGACAGTTTTCTCTCTTAAGAATCAAATGCAGTTTCACATGTCCTTGTAGTTCACGCCTTTAAAGCCACACATAAAAAATAAGTGTTGCAAAAACGTGCTCCATGCTATTTCATTTCCGTATTTGTTTTACATTTTGCTTCTATGTTTGTTCTCGCCAACGGGTATGCCAAAAAAGTACTTTGAAAATTGACATATCTTTCCTCTTAATTCTCTATGTTATTAGTAGTTTTAATAGGGCTAATCTAGTTCATTTTATTTGATTGTTCAGTGGTCTATTGAGTTAAAGCTACAAGGAGCGTTGGCTAAATCCAGAAGGATTATCCAAAGGATAGCTTCAGGGCTGCGCAAAATCGAAATTCTTTAAGCTGTTTTAGTTGTTGTTGCTGTTTTTTTTTTCAGAGAAAATCACATTGTCCCATTGTCATATCAATTTTTTTATGCTTTTGGACAAAGGTGATCCGCCGGGMAAATTGTTGTTAATCAAACATAAAAAGATTATAATAACAGTTGTTCGGTTGCCTATTTTACTCATTTCTTTATTGCTTAATGTTGGAATCATCATTTTTCAATTATAGTCAATCATGACCTTCATAAAGAGTATAGACATTAATGAGATCAGAAATCAAGAGATAGGGGAAGGGGGGAGGAGTATAGTGACATTAATGAAGTCAGAAATCAAGAGATGGGGGGAGGGGGGAGGGGACGTTTAGTGACATTAATGGAAGTCAGAAAGCAAGAGATAGGGGAAGGGGGAAGTGTATTGACATTAATGAAGTCAGAAAACAAGAGATAGGGGGAGGGGGAGGGGAGTGACATTAATGGAAACCAGAAGGCGAAAGATAGGGTAAGGGAAGGGCAGTGACACTAATAAAGTCAGAAAGCAACAAAAGATAGGGAAAGGGGGTAGGGGTAGTAATGAGTTATAAGGATGTTTTCGAGGTCAGGGATAACATTTTCATTATTTTCAGATTTTTTATGCCAATATCTTAAGAAACTGGATCAACAAAGGAATCAGAGATCAGCAAGGATCAGAAGGGATCAAAATTGTCGCTATCGAAGATTACTGGAAACATTAAACACCTTGTAACTATTCTGAGGAATGTGTAGCGGGAGTCTAAAGTACAACTTAGGGGGAGTAGGGTAAGTCAAATGTGGATACTATTGGCAATCCATCCTGGGACTAGGTAAGGGTACGTTAGGTGTCCATTAATGTATCGCTGTCGATTATGTTCTTCTAACTGGTTCTTGATAGTCCCGTTCAGCAGTGTTGCGTACTTGGCGAATAACGAGCGTGCTTTAGCGTCGTCCAAATCGTTACCGTAGTCAAATAACGTATCATAATGCATGGCTGTGAGTGTCATCGTAATAGTGGCTTGGATCTATATTATGATAATATACTTTCAGATTATAACTATTATATAGCGCTTGCATTGATTGGCTGAAATGTGCAATAAATCATTTTCTTTAGACCATTTCTGAAATATTATTCGCGCTGCATTGTGGTCTAGTTTGAGTATAAGCAATATTATATTTGGCCATGTGAAGAAATGATGTGTTTACCTAATCTAGACCACAATGCAATGCAAAATGGTATTTCAGACACGACCTATGAAAAGGTAAAAAAAGAGCTTCAATCGAAGAGTTGTTTTATTAATCTGCAATAAAAGATGTTTTCAGACAGCTGTAATTGTTTCACCTTTTTTTTAAGACGTTAAAATTTTTACACAACTGTTTCTTTAGAAACACCGACTAGCTTATCGCTAATTCCCACGCGAGTGTTGGCGACAACAGAGAATGGAAAAACGTAAAGTATATTCTAGGCTTGATTTTTAGACACAGAACCAATTGACTTACCGTAGCATGGTACATGCCAGGAAAATTAAACACATTAAAATCCCCAGGCGTTACTCGCAAATCATCGTATAACTTGCAAGGCATGTTGGGAGTAAAGGCTGCATAGTAACTTCCCGGATAGTTGACCGCGCTGTGCTGGGCACTAGTCATCCACATCAAACGTGTTAATATGTTTTGAAGCGTATATTTATCTTTAACTAAAACGGGGAAACCTGGTATCTAAAACAATAAAATGATTAAAAATTTTATCGAGATAAGGAAAGTTCAGTATGATGTCATTTAGATATGATGACGTTTCCCTCACCTTTATGACGTCATAAATCTCAAATATAAGACCTTGAAGCTCGTAATCGTTTTGTACGTCTGTGTCTGCTTTGTAGTACCTACAACACAGTTAACATTACTATAGGTTTTTTCAGTTATTTTTCAACATTAGCTTCATTTAAAGGGACATTTTCCACTAGCAAGCAATGCGGTCGTGTTTTAGATTTTTCATATATGGAAAATGAGGTGACTTCGAATATCCATTTGCAATCCGTTTCCATCCATCGGTTTAACGGTCGAATCTTAAAGCATCTCCATTAATATAGGATAAAGGAATAATAAAGAGTAAGTTTTTGCTTATATTACGATGTATTTCTATTTTCAAACATAAACAAAAGCTCGAAAGGGATGCTGGTGGACCATGTCCCTTTAAAAGTTCTGTTTATCGTATACTTCTCAATGACAGCAGATGATTTTTAAAATAACGTTTATCAGTTATTTGCACTATATAGAGATACCACGAATGTGTTATTTTCACTAGTGAAAATAACAACTTTACGTAATCAAGGAGAAATATAGGTATTTTATAGATAATTATATGCTAAACGGAAATCTTCATAGATGTCCCGAGCGATGCAGACAAGGGACATCATCAAAAACAGGATGCGGATACAATGGATGCTAAACGAAAAAGTTGATAAGCAAGCTACTATTACACCCGATTTCAAATGAGTGCGAACTCTCGAATTTTTTTTGAACGCTAAACTTTNTAACTGTCTTGATAGGAGCATGGGTCTCCAAGCACGACAGAAAGAGATCGTTAAATCCTTCGAGCTTTGTGTCTAATGATTGCAACAAATCCACAGTGTCCCAAGGGACAATTGATAGATCACAGGAAAACTCCTCAGCATTTTACTTTTTAAAACTGCGAGTAGTGATGGAGGTTATTCGCAGTTTAAGTATTGGCCGTCCTCTTTGGTTTTTATGGTAGCAGATTTTGTGTGTATAGTAAACAGTAACGGCATAAAGGAGTCAATAATATAATAACGCTTGAACTAAAAAACAATCTGGAAATTGACAAAAACACAAAATGAAATTAACAAGTCGGTGTTTATACGATTTGGTGAACCGTTTTAGCAGGCCTTGTTTTTAACCTCCTATCCCAACCCCCTCCCCAAAAGCCTCTGCAGGCTATACCAAATAACATTTAATTTGATTATGGTTTAGTTGAATTTGCTAATTTTTGGTCTTCACACTTTTAATCCTTCCCAGATTTGACTTACAACTATACTAAGAAAATGCTGAATCGCTAAGAGGTTAAGCAATTGATGCAAGCTCTACCAAATATGACAGGTAATGAGCTGAAGGATGTTCTAGAAAATTTCCAGCCGATGATTGGAAATATGGAAGTTGTTGATACAAAAACACTAATTGGGCGGAAACATGACACAGTAGCACAATCAATGTTGCCATCAGATTTTCATGATTTTGTTCCACTTCGTAGCACTGGAAATGGCAATTGCCTTTTCAATAGTACATCAATTCTACTAAGTAACGACGAAGAACAGGCCGATCTACTTCGTGTTCTGGTCACCTGCGAGTTAATTGTGTACTCAGACTTTTATGCACAACACCCTCAAATGTCTGAAATGACGAATTGCAACAGCTACTCAATTAAGAATATCATCCCAATTTTGTTAAGTGACGAAATGGCTACCAAGATATATGATGGCAACCATGTTCTCTGATTTTAATGGCTTTGTCATCTGTAATACAAAAGCCCATTTCCTCCGTTTATCCACATTTCTCTTCATGTGTTCGAAGAAAAAATGGAATTCATCGTGTCTTTTATCCAAGGCAGGTTTACACGTTAAGTAATGCATTGAATCGTCCTTCTGTCAGTATCATGTGGACTAATACATCTCTTTGCGTACAAAATCCATGGAAACCAAATCACTTTGTGCCATTAGTGAGAAAGGAGATGTTGTCTGTTGCAAAAAGCGCATCGCTTAAATCCTCGTCTTCAAACGTTTATTCCACATCTCAGAAGAAAAATCGAGCCTGTTCATCAAATCATACATCTGTGCGTCCAAGCTATGCAGATGTCACGAAATGCCACACAGAAATCGTCCAAGCACTCAGCATATCCTTCTACAACCTCTGCTCCTTCTGCAAGTCCCAGATATGCAGGTGTCGCCATAAATGCTCCAGATAAATCGTCAAAGGATTCAGCGTATCCTTGTACAACCTCAGCTCATTCTGCGTGTCCAAGCTATGCAGATGTCGCAAGAAATACTCCACATAAGTCGTCCAAGCACTCAGCTTATCCTTCTACAACCTCTGCTCCTTCTGCGAGTCCCAGCTATGCAGGTGTCGCCAGAAATGCTTCAGATAAATCCTCAAGGGATTCAGTGTATCCTTCTACAACCGCTGCTTCTTCTTCCTACTCATGTCAGCATGGCTATATATCTTCCAACTCTACGTCTAAAAATAAGTACCAACATACTCCATCTAAAGCACAATCCCCACCACAAGCCAGGTCTGTTTCTCCTGAACCTTCTGTACCTCCAACCAGGTCTGCTTCTCCTTCGGTGCCTATATCTCCAGCCAGGTCTGTTTCTCCTCTACTGCCTGAACCACCAACCAGGTCTTCTTCTCCTTTACAGCCTACATCGCCAGCCAGGTCTGCTTCTCCTTCGCAGCCTACATCTCCAGCCAGGTCTGTTTCTCCTGTACCTTCTACGTCTCCAGCCAGTTCTGTTTCTCCTGTACCTTCTACGTCTCCAGCCAGGTCTGTTTCTCCTGTACCTTCTACGTCTCCAGCCAGTTCTGTTTCTCCTGTACCTTCTACGTCTCCAGCCAGGTCTGTTTCTCCTGTACCTTCTACATCTCCAGTCAAGTCTGTGTCTCCTGTACCGTCACCACCTCCAACCAGATCTGCATCCCCTTTACTATCTACGTCATTACCATATCCACTGCCAAAAAGAAAAAAGGTTGGCACAAAAGAATCTTGTTCAGCCCCCAAAAAGCCAGGATTGCAACTTTATTTAAATGGAAAACTAACTCCTCTAGAAATGTGAGGTCTGACAATCAGTCATTGTCTTCATCTTGGACCAAGCCTGCTGCTACTACATCATCTAAATCTTCAGCAAAACCTTTCTCTTCTTTATCGTCAACACCTCAGACCAGGTCTAGTTGTCGTTTACCATTACCTACAGCTAAGGTTAAAAGGAAAAAGAGACAACAGTCCCAATGTTTGCAAAAATCTACTGATTTTAAAAAGTTTTTTTTTTTTTACCTGGAAAGATGAAGAACGCCAGTGAAGTGGAAATTGACGATCAGAAATCAMCTAAATGTAAAAAAGGTGAAATAGAATTGATACCCTTGAAAGGCCCRGATATGAAGTGGTATAGCAGCCGAGGGAAATTGTTTATTGCCAAYGCAAACAAAACATTATCAGATTTTAAAGTTATAAGTGATAATGGTGAATTACAAGGCATGGTCAGCTCTATCCCAGGATCTGCTCAAAATTTACAAAAATAGAAAAAATATAAATCCTACTGTGTCCTCGCCTTGCACTTCATCAGATTTCTTCAAGACTGTGGCAAAGSATTTAAACATCATGCAAATTTACCTCGAGGGAACAGTTTTCATTCTTGAAAATAGGGGAGCAGAAATCGCAGAAGTGGCATCCCTAAAATCCACAGAAAAAAATAAAGAAAAATTTATAAAAGATCACATTAAAGAAAAAGTCGGAGATTCCTACTCTTCACTGAAAAGATACCTGGACAGCAAAA